ACCTCTACTTTGAGCCTCTCCTGAATGTCTGAGCTCCTCACCCTCTCTAAGGCTGAGCCCAGAAACGCTGCAAAGGAAGCTCATTTCAACTAACTGCAATTAATTAAATTAATTTAATGAATGCAAAACCAGTGTGTGTTTGATCCACCACCATCGTCCCCACGAAATGTAGCCCCCCCTCCCCCCGCATGACCCCTCTGGCTCACCGTAGCACGAGTTGGTGACGGAGCAGGAGGCGGAGAAGTCAAACTGTACAAAGGCGTCCTGGCCCACGCTGATGTCGGTGGTGACGGCGTAGCGCGTGTTGGACTTCTCAATGAAGGCGAAGGCCTCGCCGTCGGAGCCGCACACGGGCATGCGGGTGCCCCCCGGGTGAAGCAGCCAAGATCGCTCATCCTTGGACGAGAAGTCATCCTCCAGGGGCCCCCAGCCACTGGCACTGCCCCCTATGACCACCTGGTACAGCAAACACACACAGATGTATATGACAAAGCATGGATATTAATTTAAACAACTGCACAAACAGTTACGCCTGATTGCGGGACTCAAACCAACATCCTTTGAGCGACAATGCATGGAAATGTCCATAAGCAACCTCACATTTACTGAATAGCCTTTAATTTTCTTTTTTTATGCGTTTTTGTGTAAATATTTACTGAACAATCCAGATTAAGTCTCATGCTGCCACAGTAATGTAGGACTTGAACCAACATCCTTCAGGCAACAAGCTCATGGGCATTACCTTGGCTATATCACTCACCTGGTCCATGACCCAGGGGCTGTGGAAGTGGCCGTCCTCAGAAGGCTGCCACCAGCGCAGGCGTGTGGCTGGGGTGCGGGAGCGCAGTGGGATCTCCAGGGCCACCAAGCGCGCCTGGTTACTGCTGTTGCTGAAGAGGAACTCCTGCAGCAGCACCCAGGACAGGCCGCCGTCGACAGAGAACTGCAGGAGGACGGGCTTGGAGCGAGGGTCTGGGGGTGATTTACCACAGCCCAGGCGCAAGAAGAACTGCACGAACCTGCAGGAAGCGGGAGGAGCAGCATGTGTATCAGGACTCAGGTAACCATGCTGGTTCCGTCTGTTTCCTGGGTGTGTGGCAGGCTTACCAGCGACCAGGCAAGTGGCTAGAAATTCTGGGCTCCCTGAAAAAATGTACCTTGGGCCCGCAGGACAAATCGGTACCTAATAGATCCTGTATGAAGAGGCTACACGCGTGTCAGACGTGTGACATGGTACCTGGCGTTGGACAGGTCTAAGTCCACGGTGACCAGCATGCGCAGGCCGTCCTCGCTGAAGAACAGGTGGTTCCCGCTGGTCATGATCCCGCACTTCCTGGAGGGCTTCCCCCCGCTGAGCAGCAGAAAGCGCCCCCTGTCTACGAAGCCCCCTGCGTGCGTGACGGGCACCTTATCGCCGCTTCGGAGCCTTTCTCTGAGCCTCGGCCCCACAGCTACACAGAAAACACACCAGACAGCTTGACCGCTGCTCTCAGGTCACATGATCACCATGGAGGGGGAAGATTCGTTATCTACCACGGGAGGGACTGATGTCTGATTAGTCACAGCAGGCTGTGATTGACAGGCACTGTAGCTCCGCCCACTTTGAAGCTTATCTGGTGATATACATAAATAACTAAAGAAATCTGAGCTTGGTGCCGCCTCTAGCCGATACAGAGCTCAGGAAGCCCACATGTCCGGGGCAGACACACGCGGGCAGACACGCACACGCATGCAGGTGGACACGCCCGCAGAGACACACACTCCTGGCTCTGCCTGAACACCGGCCAGCTCCTGTACCTTCGAAGTCCTCCTTCAGGAAGTCAGGGTTGGGCACGTGGGGCACGGAGCAGTCGGGCCCAGAGTAGCCGAGGTCGCAGGTGCACCGCGCCGCCCCCACGCACGCTCCGTGGCCCCCGCACATATCCTGGCACCGTGGCCCGATGTACACATTGTCCAGAGCCCATGTCGGGGGGGCAGCGCCACCCACATAGAAGCCCTGGTACCAGCGGAACCGCACCGACCTGCAGTGGGAAGACAGGAGCAGGCCCATCCTCTAAAACGTCAACCAGAAAACCCTGGAATGTTCCAGATTACCATCTTCTCACACAACAGCAGTGCCACACAGTTTTCAGCGTTCACATAATTTTGCTACATAATTAATTGATTAATTAATTGATTGGTTATTTGATAACACACTTTATTAATAGATACTTTTGATGCTCAGTGCAGGATGATAGTTTCCATTACCCAAAATCCCCAGCTCACATGAGAGAGTCGCACGGCTTGGCGATCAGCCCCGCCCCCTCACCCGCATAGGCGGAGCTTGCCAAAGTGGATGACCTCCCTCCTCCAGCCCTGGGTGGTGCCCGAGTGGTAGATGCTGGCGGGGTGCAGCTCTGTGGAGCACAGCGAGTTGGGCTGGGGGCTCCCCGAGCACAGCGGCACCAACAGGTGCCAGGTGGCACCAAAATCCCGCGAGAACTCCAGGCGCACGGCGTTGGCGGCCGAGTTGTCCGTGGTGCAGCCCACGTTGATCTGCCGTGCGGGAGAGCAGAGAAGGCGGCTTTACTGCCCCGCCCCCCAAACACCCTGTTACCCCCCCATCTCAGGATCGCCCCCCAGGCCTCCCTGACTCGGCTACCTCAAACTGGACGATGGTGTTCTCATTGACGTCAACGTCACGGGTGGTGATGGAATGTTCCCCAAGATCACTGGACACAAACACCATGGCAGAGTCGTCCTGCCTGCAAAAATATGGATTCAGGCTGTACTCAACACAAGCCATTCATCAAATTTCGTTTAGAATTTATTCCAGCCTTGATTGCCAAGCATGTGACAATCAGTGTTTTCACATTCACTTTGCCAGTAAACAGTCAAGCCCAATTATCACCAATCAACATAAGCATCTCCACAAATCACCAAATGTTACAAGATACTCACAGCGCCCCCTTCTGGTAGGGGCAGTACGACCCAATGTTGCCTCCAGGATAGAAAAGCCAGGCATTCTCCACCGGCCCCCCCTCAAAACTGTCTTCCAGGAGAGGGGGGGTGTGCAGGGAGTTGCCGTCGATGATGAGGTCATCAATCACCCACACTTCCTCCTTCTTTCCTGCAAGGGGCATATAGTGTATGTGTATGTGTGTGTGTGTGTGTGTGTGCATGCGTGTTTATGCATGTGCATGTGTGTCTGTGCGTGTGTGTATACATGTGCATGTGTGCATGGATGTGCGTGTGCATGTGTCTGTACGTGTGTCTGAATCATGCCTTACCGTTATTGTAAGGCTGCCACAGCCGAAAGCGCGTGGCGTTGGTCTGGCCACTTTGGGGGAGGGGCAGGTGCAGGAACAGTGTGTCGGTGGACGTGGGGAAGTAGAATTCATCCAACAGCAGCCAGCTGATGCCCCCATTCACGGAGTACTGCAGGAGCACGGAGTGGGACCGTTCCGGGACCCCTGTACCCACAGAGACGCACAGGGACTGGGGTTACTGGGTCACCAGCCTCATGGGAGAGGCGAACAGGAGCGATGGGAGATGCAGACCCACCCTTGGTGATGAACTTGAAGGAGAACTGAATGTACAGAGCGCTGGTGCAGTCCAGGTCGCGGGACACCAGCATGCGGAGCCCCTCCTGGGTCGGGGGGGCAAGGGTCAGTGAGAGAGAGAGCAGAACAGGGGAAGTGGGTGAGAACCCAGTCCAGGGAGCGGGTCAAGTGTAGGCAGCCCCAGCTATGAAGCCAGAGCCAGCGAAGAGAACAAATTTAGGGCACACTAAACTCAATAAATACATTTATAATTAATGCAGTCACTTCAAAATTTTGTTTGAGCTGTTTTGTGTGGCACAGAAAAGAGAAGCAGATAAGACCCCTGAATGCTTCACATCTTACGTTTTTCATGTTATTCGATTAGCAGATGCTTTTACCCAAAGCAACGCACATTTAGAAAAAGCAGTGTCAGACGGTCCCTGCAGCAATTAGCACTCTGCTGACCCTGGGATTTGAACCAGCAACCTTCCGATCTTAAACACAGGGTCCTAACCCACTGAGCCACACAGCTCCCCACATACCCACCCCTTTGAAAATGAGTGCCGTGCCGGACTTGAGCGGTTCCCCGCTGAGGGTGCCCCGCTCGGCCCCATACACCTCCGGCCACTGCTCCCCCCGCAGGTTCTCGTTGAAGTCCTCCTTCAGCATCGATGGCAGGGGCATCAGGGGGACACAGTGTGGGCCCCCGTAACCACGGTCACACCTGGGGGGCAGGCGGGGGGGGGGGGCAGAAGGTCAGAGGGCAGCGTCCTCAGAGCACCGCACTCCAGGGGAGGCGGGGGGGTCCACTCACACGCAGCGGCCGCTGTCACACAGGCCATGGCCAGAGCACATCCAGGGGCACCCAGGGGTTAGGAGCACATTATCCAGGGTCCAGCCGTCCGCCCCAGGGGTGAAATGGCTCTGGATCCAGCGGAACCGCGTCCTGGGGGAGCTGGGGAGCAAGGCAGACGGCCTGGGTTCCATTACTTGCTGCATGTATGGATCCCCGTGAGACAGCAGTGGGCGGAGCTTACTTGGCCACGCTGGGCAGGTAAACGGTGACCCTTTTCCAACGTGAATACTGGGGGGCGCTGTAGATGGAGCTCTGGGTATAGCTGGAGCAGCCGATGGCAGGGGGTACGCACTCGGGGGTGAGCAAGGCCCAGCGGCGCCCCCCATCTGTGGAAAACTCCAGGCGGACACCGTGGGACGCTGAGGCGGCCTTGCTGCAGCCCATGCTGAGATCGAACTGGAGGAAGGAGGAGCCAGACACCTCGAAATCCCAGGTCTCCACGTAGCGTGGCTTCTCTGTGGGGTGAGCAGAGGCACAAGACAGACACGTAAACACAGAGACACACGACAGACACGCAGAGGCACAGACACAAGACAGACACGTAAACACAGAGACACACGACAGACACGCAGAGGCACAGACACAAGACAGACACGTAAACACAGAGACACACGACAGACACGCAGAGGCACAGACACAAGACAGACACGTAAACACAGAGACACACGACAGACACGCAGAGGCACAGACACAAGACAGACACGTAAACACAGAGACACACGACAGACACGCAGAGACACAGACACACGACAGACAGGCAGGGTGTAAGAAAGCTAGAGAATGTTCCTTAAACACAAGGGTCTAAAACAAGATATGATATACTTCATTGATCCCAAGGGGAAATGTGAGTAAAATGTGAGTAAGCGTTAATCTGTCAGTAAGCAGCAGGATGCGTGGACAAGTCTATGCCCGTCCATTGCCGTGGTTCCAGGTTCGAGAGCCACAGCAGCAGAGTGGGACTCACTGTCTGCGACCTCGCTGCTGAAGGTGAGCGCCGTGTCCAGGGACAGGCAGTCCACGGTCACCCGCCCGCCCTGCACGCGGTACCAGGTGTGCCGCACCGGAGCAGGCCCGTCGAACTTGTCATGGAAGCCCGTCCTGGAGCTGTCGTTCATCCCGATCAGGACGTCGTCCAGGGCCCACTGGGCCGAATGCTTGCCTGTGGAAAACAAGAGAGAGAAGGTAGCGGATTTTATGTCATCGTCTCCCTACCGCCCGGCACCCCTGTCCGGGGGCCAGAGAGATCAGGGCCCCTCACCCTGCTGAGGCTGCCACCAGCGGAACACCGTGTGGGCAGTTTTGGCCGGAGGCGGAAGCTCGATCGTCACAATCTGCGGCTCCAGGAAGGAGTTGTAGTCCAACTCCCTGAGAAAGTGCCACCTTACGCCGTTGTTGGTGGAGAACTGGACAATCACGCCTGTGGGCAGAGGACACCAGCGGTGAGCAAAATCCAGGCTTTGAATAATATGTTCACAATGACAGGCTTGCTGACAGCTGAGTGAAAAATAGTGGAGGGATGTTATTAAATTGACCAGAGGTCATGTTTGACTTCCACAAAGCCGCCACATGATGGCAGCAGAGTGCCTCATCGATACGCAGTATCTGGTTTACAGGTTTTTTTGCATGCGATGTGATCGTTACCTTCATTTCGGGAGCGGGGCCTGCTGCACGCGGAGCCCATGCTCTTTCCACCAATCCGTATGTAGAACTGAACCAGGCTGTTGGACACACACAAACACTGTCTCAGATGAGGGGGCTGTACAGCAAGCAGCCCCGGGGTGGGTAGGGGGGCTTACTGACCGGCTGTTCGTGGTGTCCAGGGGGACAGTGCGGGCTTCTCTTCTCCCAGCGGCGCCGAAGTAGAGAGCCTTTCCGTCCGCGATGGTCCCGCAGCCAGCGCCCACCTGGGTGCCAAACAGGCTCTGCCAGAGAGGGCTGAGTTTGCCCTCGAAGTCTTCCATGAGCTCTGTGGGGCTCGGCTGGGCGGGGACACAGCTGTCCTGCTCCACTGCGA